TTCTTTCATGTTTTAGGTTTGATCACATATATATACACATACATATATATATATACACATATATATATAGATGTATATATATATATATATATATGTTTATATATATGCATATACGTATACATGCAGATAGCTATGCGCATATCAGGTCATATGTATGTACTATGTTTATCCACATGTCTATGTGTAGCTTTATGCGTGCGAATACGTGTATGTATATGTACATATATATGCATGTGGGTACATGCGTGTGTGTACTCATACAAACATACATCTATCATATGTATACACCCATCGGTGTACACACGTGCATGCATGTCTGTATGTATGTATGTAGGTAGGTAGGTAGGTGGAACGGTACGTATGTAGATAGGTACGTATGTATGTATGTATGTATGTATGTATGTATGTATGTATGCATGAATGTATGTATGTATGTATGTATGTGTATATCTATATCTATTTATACACATATCATTGCCAATGCATGAGCGTTGCTGCTCGATTCGGGTCCAGATTTTATCCATCCTAGCGTCACCAGTGCATAGCCGATGCATCGGCGATGTGGCACTTTCGTCTGCCTCCGTGTGATTGCCCGACCCCCATTTTGGCGGCCTCCAGGTGGCAGCAGCGGCGCTGGTCACGCACTCGTGGCCAAGCAGCCTTGGTGGCGCCCAGAGCACGTTCTGTCGGGTCCGAGGTTCGAGGTTCGAGGATCCAGAGGACTTTTTCGGGCCTCTTCGACTTCTTTCGGGTCTCCGGGGGCCTCTGGAGGCATCCCGACTGGGACGATCGAAATGGGTACGGAAAGATGGGTACGATGTCCAACAGCAATTCCTGCTCATTTTGAACAGGACTCGCTGTCCGCGCCGCCGCGGACGTTGTTCACTGAAGACAAGAAGCCGCCCGCCCAACAGCGACCGCTGTCTGTTTTGGACAACACTTGTTGTTGGGCATTGTACACATTTACTCCGTACCCCTTTCGGGCGTCCAAACCAGCGTCCAAACCGGAGGCTTCCTCAGAGGTTTCTGGAGACCTCATGCCGATAGCGCCGTAACAAAACATCGAGATTTCGTTTTTTTTTTCCACCGTGCTGGGCCTCTGCGCATGTGTCTCGGGCCCCGAAGCAATCAACAAAACGATCCTGGGTCAACATCTGGTCCTTGGGGTGGGGTCCGCTGGTCTGGGGGCCCCTGTCAGAAAAAGTCGAGACGTCGGAACTTTAGATTTGATGTGTGCGCGCCCGACAGACCCAGTCCTTCAACGTCTTTTTTTCTTTTGTGTGTGTATTTCTTTTTCTCACGGCGTGATCCCCCAGAGCCTCTCGAACCCATCCGTGGTGCTGCTCTCTTGTCGCGGCTGTTTTCCTGCGGGCCCCGAACCCAAGGGGCCCCAAGAAGGTCCCTAGGAGGCCGAGAGTGCGAACGAAGCGTCGTCCATTCTAGTATCGCCCCCTGAGGGTGGCCGCCTAGCATCATCTCCGTTGCTCGACGTTGCTGTTGCTAACCCCCATCACTTGTGCCAACTATCCAGCTGCCTGCGGCAAGTCCCGCCACCGTGACAGCCCAGCATTCTGGGTGGCGATTGTTCGAGGGGGCACGTGAGGCCGTCATGTGTGACGCTTTGTGTCTCCAGGCTTGGGAGAGCCGTGATGCGGATGATGAACATTATGAGGATGATGGGGGTGGTGACGGCGGTGATGATGATGCTGATGATGCTGATGATGACGATACTGATGATGATGACGATAGTAATGATGATGATAATGATGATGGCGATGGTGATGGCGATGGTTGTTATGAGGTTGAGTATGCTGGTAGATGATGCTGATCATGATGATGACGATGGCGATGACGACGACTATGACGATGACGATGCAGATGACGTTGATTTTGATGATGAGGATGAGGGTAAGGATGATGACGATGATGACGATGACGATGATGACAATGATGATGAAGATGATGATGATGATGCTGATGATCATGATCATGATCATGATCATGATCATGATCATGATGTCGATGACGCTGCTACTGATGATGCTGATGCTGATGATTGTGATGGTGATGCTGATGGTGCTGATGATGCTGATGTTGATGATGATGCTGACGCTGATGATGATGATGATGATGATGATGATGATGGTGATGATGATACTGATGATGATGATGATGATGATGATAATGATGATGCTCATGATTACGATGCTGATGCTGATGATGCTGATGATGAACATTATGATGCTGATGACGATGATGCTGATTATGATAACGAAACTGACGTTCATGATAATGCTTGTGGTGAGGATGTTGCTGATGATGATGATGCTGATGATGAGGATGCTGACGCTGATGATGCTGATCATGATGATGATGATGCTGATGATGATGCTGATGATGATACTGATGATGCTGATGCTGATGGTGATGATGCTGCTGCTGATGATGATGATGATGATGATGATGATGATGATGATGCTGACGCTGATGATGCTGATCATGATGATGGTGATGATGGTGATCATGGTGATGATGGTGATGGTGATGGTGATGGTGATGGTGATGGTGATGGTGATGGTGATGGTGATGGTGATGGTGGTAGTGATGATCATGATGATGATGACCATGCTGATGATGATGATGAAGAAGAAGAAGAAGATGAAACTCGTTTGGGCCTTCTTGGGGCTGTCATGGCTTCCTGTGAGGCAGGCTTGGGGGTCCCTTGGGGCCCTCATGGGCCGTCTTGGAGCCCTCTTACTCTAGCTTGGCGCTCTCTTGGGCCGTGTCTGGGGGCCGTCCTTGGGTTCGTCTTGGCGCCGTCTTGGGCCGTCGAAGGGCCTTTTAAGGCCGTCTTGGCTCACACGGGAGGCTCTCTTGGGCCGTCTTGGGGCCGTCTTGGATGCCTCTTGGGACATCGTGGAGTCCACTTTGGCCGTCTTGAGCTGACAGCAGCCCGAAAAGGCGAGAGTGCGAAACTCATTCAAACACCCACGGAACATCAAGGACTTTGGCTTCTTCGAACCCTGTTGGAGGTCCTCTTGTGGCCATGTTGGGCTCTCTTGGATGCATCTTGGGCTGTCTTGAATCAATGTTCGGCCGCCTTGGGGCCATCTTGGGCCGCCTTCGAGGCATCTTGGGCCATCAGGGTGTCCTTCGTCGCTTGCACGGGCCGTCTAGTTCGGGACGCATATCCATCGTTTTAAACTACGGATCGTGGCTTGGGAGGCCCTGGAGCGCTTGGGAACAGTGCTTGGGAACAGTGCCTGGGAACGCGGCAAGTGCACGATCCTCGAGTGGGTGCGCGTGGGATGAGGGGTCTAAGAGTCAGCAGCCGTGCGGGAGGTGCACAATCCTCGATCGGGCGCGCAGGGAACGAGGGTTAAGGCATTTTCTGCCATGCGCCATGCGGGAAAAATAGTGGGCTTGTTTTCCACTGCCACTACCAAAGTAGGTGGGGGAGGGGGTCCTCTTCTTCCTCCTCCGCCCCCTAATTCTCCAACTCCTTCCCCCCTCCAACTTATGGTGGATGTGGTGGTGGAAAACAGGCCCAGCAAAGAACACCATCCTCGAGCGGGAAGGGGGGAATGAGGGATTGGGCCATGCTGGAAATGCACCATCCTCGAGCGGGCACGAGGGAGGTGGCCTCGGACAGGAGGGGGCGGTTCTCGCAGGAGTCTGCTGGCATAGAGGGAGCGGCGGCCCCTGGCCGGAGCTCAGAAGAACCCTACCAGAGAGACCTTGGCCTTCTTCCACGCCTCAACGTGCAAGGGGGCACGGTGGCGGAGAAGGACACAGGATGCGGGGAAGGTGAGGAGGAGGAAGAGGAGGAGGAGGAGGAGGAGGAGGAGGAGGAGGAGGAGGAGGGAGGAGGAGGAGGAGGAGGACGAGGAGGAGGAGGTAGGAGGGAGGGAACCAGTGTAAACCCAGGAGTGAGGGAACCAGTGGAAAACCCGAGGGAGGGGCACGGTGGCGGATACACTAGCTGCACGAGTTATATTTCTTTTCCCCCCGCCAGCCTTGGACAAAGCAGTCTGCACCCTCTGGACCATACCGATGGTGTCGTGGTCAGGAGGGTGGTCTCCAGGAGGGGACATCAGGACCAACCTTTTCTACAATTGCAGGGGTGGGTCACCGTACAAATCACCGGCGCCGGGTTTCCTCGCGAACTGGTCCTCCAAGGGCCGATCCTCGTCCCATGGGGCCATCAGACAACGACCCGCGACCAGAAGCCGGACGTCGGGACGGGATCGAGAGCTCTGGAGTTCATATCGTGAAGAAGCGGCGTCGGAGGTCTGGACAGGCCTGCCTCGTCTTCTGTTGCCATGTCGGTTCAAGGTGCGGGAGGGAAGGGGATGCCGATGCGCCATCATGCGGGGCTCTGCGAGGCTGTCGAGTCAGACCCGTGACTATGGTGCAGCTCGACGATGAGGCGGGGCTCCTGCTGAGCGAGCAGGGTCCACAGGGTCCGCGCCTTTCGCGCGCGTGCGGGTCTTCATCGAACCCGAAGGCGATCATTGCTATCGCCATCGTCCTCGCCTCCGCAGCGGCAGCGGCGCTCTCGGCCTCAGGACTGGCACGCGCTCCCGAGGCGCCCGTCGCCGCCCGCGCCCTGAGCGGAGGCCGCCTGCAGACCCGCTGGAGCGCGGGCGCGGCGAGCGGCGCCGCCTGGGCGGAGCACCCGCGCCCAACGATGGTGCGGCAGCCGCACGCGTGGCGCACCCTGAACGGCGCATGGCGAAGGAGAAGAAGCGGCACGAGCGTGAGCTCGTGGCGCTCCGCGCGGAGCTCTTGGATCCGCGCTGGGCCCCGCCGGCGGCGCCTCTGGCGCGCTCCGCGCGCCGGGGGGGGGGGCCCGGCGCGGATGCGAGGAGTCCGCGCGGAGAGCCACGAGTTCATGCTGATGCGCTTTTCTCTTCTTTTAGCATGGCCGTACACTGTCATCCGCGTCCCACGATCGTGCGGATCCCTCGACGAGCTTGCCGCAGAGTGGGCCAATGCAGACCAGAGCCGAATACGCCAGCAGGGCGTCATCTCGGTCCCTTTCAGTATTGAGTCGAGCCTGAGCGGCGTCGGCCGCAGGCTGGGAGGAGACGAAGCCCTGTTCTACAATAGATCGGTGGACGTCCCCCTCAAGCCAGGGCAGCGGTATTTGTTGCACTTCGAGTCCGTTGACTACGAGTGCGTCATAATGGTCAACGGGGAGCATGCTGGCTCTCACAAAGGTGGCCATTCGCCTTTCGAATTCGATGTCACCGAGTTGCTGCATGACGGGCCAAACGAATTCACCGTCGGTGTCAGAGACACGATGTCCCCTTTCACGCTCACGGGCAAGCAATCTCTGCATGGTGGGACGATTTGGTACAGTGCCTCGTCTGGCATCAGAGGCACTGTCTGGCTGGAGACTGTTCCTGACACGTTTATCTTAGGTTGCAAGTCCTGAAGCATGGACCCTGGTATAACCTTGGTGTTAATCTGGCCCAATCTCGTCCAGTCCGCCTTAATCAGGCCTAATCCCGCTCAGCTGTTTTCTAGATGAACGTTATTCGATATTCTCTGGCTCAGTATCCTGCCAATCCAGCTTAGTCGGTCTCAATCGCGCCCACAAGGAACTTCCAGGAGTTGGAACCTAATTTGTAAGGAATCTCAAGATCACCACAAACTCAAGCCCAGCAGTCATCCATGTGGAGGTAGATGTCGACGGCAGTCGACCAGTGGAGGTTAAATTGAGCGTTCTGGACGGAACCGAGACAGTGGCCACGGCCTACTGTGCCCAGGGTGAGCCTTGCATAGCGCCTGTGTCCGCGGCCAAACTTTGGAGTCCAGCGTCGCCTTTCCTCTACGACCTATCGGTGGAGCTTGTGGCTGACGGCACCCAGGTGGACGCGGTGCAGTCTTATGCTGGCATCCGAACGGTGGGGAAGAGGCGTGACCCCAGCGGAAATTACAGGTTCACCCTGAACGACGAGTTCGTCTTCCACTACGGCGTCCTGGACCAAGGATGGTGGCCCGATGGTGGACTGACTCCGCCATTCGAAGGAGCAAAACTGCATAAACATAGACTTTTGACGGTCCGCGCGGATTTCTTGGATCGGCGCTGGGGCCCCCCCCTGGCAGCGCTTCCGGCGCCGCCCCTGGCGCGCTCCGCGCGCCAGGAAGGGGGGTTCCAGCGCCAATCCAAGACATCCACGCGGACCGACGAAAGTTCATTCATGTTCGTGCCGATGTTTCTTCTTCTAGCGATCGGACGCTGCGATGCGATTCGACGTAGACTTCGTGAAGGCCAGCGGCTTCAACGTCATCCGCAAGCACATGAAAGTGGAGCCTCGGCGCTTCTACGCCCACTGCGACCGCGTGGGCGTGATGGTGTGGCAGGACCAGCCTGCGGCCCCGGGCTGCGAGGGAGGACCCTGGGCTCAAAGGTCAGGGAAGACAGCTATCGGGTTGGGAGGATGGGGTTGGGAGAAATGAGGATATCTCGAAGAAGAAAAAACGCTATAAACACAAACTTTGGCGCTCCGCGCGGATTTCTTGGATCTGCGCTGGGCCTCCCTGGCGGCGCCTCCGGCGCCGTAGCGCGCCAGGGGGGGGTCCAGTGCAGATCCAAGAAATCCGCGCGGCGTGCCAAAAGTTTATGTTTATCGCGTTTTCCTTCAAATATCTTTACCCGTAGGCGGCCGAAGGTATCGTTCATTGCATCTGGATGCTATTGCTCATGCCCTGCATCCTCCCAACCCCGTCCTCCCAACACGATAACTGTTCTCCTCGGAAGAGGACGTGGGTCAATGCAGGCGGGGGTCGGTCGGGCAGCTGGATCTTGCAGGATCCTGCGGAGCCAGGGCTGCACTGACCCAGGTTCGCGCGCATGATCCCGCAGGAAAGTGTGTGATCCTGAAACCCCGACTGGTCCAGGTTTGCGTTGCTCCGGGTCAGCATGTCCCCGAAGGAAAACTGCCGTGCGGCCCCAAGACGCGGTCGGTGAGCCCCGGCCACTGGTCGAGCTCCATTGAGAGTGCCAAAGACTTTACCGGAAGAAGGGAACCTGGCATAAGCACTAGGTAGGCGCGGATCATCGGATCGGCTCTGGACCCTTCTGGCGGAGGCCGCCACTGGCGCGCTCGCGCCAGGGAGGGGGGTCACCGCCGATCCAAGAAATCCGCGCGGATCTCCGAAAGTTTATTTTTGTCCAGCTTTTCTTCTTCTCTGTACGGCGCAGCGCGAGGCGCAGTGGCCGGAAGAGGCTCACCAGCAGTACCTCGCGGAGCTCACCGAGATGATCCGCACGCTGCAGAACCACCCGTCCGTCGTCGTGTGGGTTCCCTTCAACGAGGCGTGGGGCCAGCATAGGACGACCGAGGTCGGCGAGATGATCGAGCGCGCCGATCCCACGCGGCTGGTCAACGTGGCGAGCGGCGGGAACTTCTGGCCCGTCGGCGACATCGCGGACAGGCACAGCTACCCGAACCCGAAGTTCGAGACCGGCGACGAGCGGTCCTCTCCATGACGAAAGGGGTCCATGAGCGACAGGGGCCAGAGTTTGTTCACCGTTCTCGGCCTGTCAGGTGCTCCTCCGCGGCCCAGGGACCACCAGAGAGCGAGCGGGGACGAAGAGCTGGTCCAGGTGAAGCCCCGGGGTCCCAGGCCCGTTTTCTGCAGAACCCCTCTCCTTCGTGGCAAGGTTCCGCGACTACGTGAAGGTGGTGGGGGAGTTCGGCGGCCACGCGCTGCCGGTGGAGGGGCACACTTGGGAGAGGGCCCACGCGAACACGTTTGGCTACACCCATGCCGAGGACCCGCAGGATCTCCTCCGATCGTCGGAGGCCTAGAAGTTGGCATCAAGAGCAGCATCGGCCGCCGTCTCCGCCAAGGGAAGATGATCACCATTCTCGGTTGCGGTGGTAATGTCAGGTCGGGCGTGTCCCTCTACAGGAGGAGGAGGAGGAGGAGGAGGAGGAGGAGGAGGAGGAGGAGGAGGAGGAGGAGGAGGAGGAGTTTCAAAAGTAGTCAAAAAATAGTCCTGGGACGATTTCTAGACTGTTTTTGAACATTTCTGAATGTATGTTTGGACTATAGCTGATCTTTCGCCCAAGGTCCGCCTGCAGGGGGACATGCCCGACCTAATGGTAATATCGAGGCCCCTCAGGTGGCTGGAGCTGAACCGGAACGCCTCGCCTCCACGATACATCGGCAGTGCTGGCTCGGCGGCCAAGGATTCGTCTGTCTTAGCCTTAAGTCGGGCCTGCCCCTCTACAGGAGGAATATCCAAAAATAGTTAAACAATAGTCAGGGTACGATTTTTCAACCATATTTGAGCATTTTTTTGGGGGGTGGGTGGGGGGGTATTTTTGTCTATCCTTTATATTTCGTCCAAAATCCTTCTGTGGGGGGACACGCCCGACCTAATCTTTGCCTCCGCGGCAAGAACCAACATTGCAGTCGCGAAAATTCCGTGGCCAAAATATGTTGCTTGATCATCATTCTCCCCGATGGAAGAGACACCCGATGTTAGCAGCGGTGCTATCTTCTAGGCCTTCGAAATCGTACAACGATTCTTTTCATGTTCTTACGCAGTTGGTGAAGAGTGGCGTCGCAGGTGCCATCTACACGCAGACCACTGACGTGGAGCGCGAGCTGAACGGTCTGCTGACGTACGACCGCGAGGTGGCCAAGCTGAGCGCCGAGCAGCTCCGAGAAATTCACGGAGGCGGAGGTGTGCTCCGCGTCCCTGACGGGGAACTTCTTTTCCAGTGGGCGGCGGATGCGCTCACGGCTGAGAGCTAGCCTGCCCCGTGCATAGAGTCCGGGAGGAGCGGCCGGTAGAGCAGATCTGTTTCGGGCTTCCTTGATCCTTAGTTACTCCTCGCCCCGCCCTCGATCTCGTTGGTCCCGCTCGGTGCCCACGGATCCATTTCGTCCCTGTCGGTTGATGCATCGAGTCTTGTTGTTGTCGCATAGTCTCACCACTGACCGCGCCCCGGCGCCACCCTGCCGTGCCCCCGCGGCACCTAGACTGCAGGCCGCTTGTGCACTTGTCCGGTGGCTTCTCATGGTCACTCAAGGTGTTCAGCTTGTCCAGCCAGGCACGCGCTGCGCAGGGCGCTCCGGAAGGGATTTGCTCGAGGAGGCGCTCCGATGCTTCTTGCCCAGCCATCCCCGTGGTGGTATGGACCTTCATTTGGAGGAGGCAGCGCCCCGCGTCTCACTCACTCCTCCTTCTTCCTCCCCCCCTCCCTCCTCCTCCCCCCCTCCCTAAACATACACTCTTGGCGCTCCGCGCGGATTTCTTGGATCCGCGCTGGGCCCCCCCCGCGGCGCCTCCGGCGCCGCCCCTGGCGCGCTCCGCACGCTAGGGAGAGAGCGCAGATCCAAGAAATCCGTGCGGAGCGCCAAAAGTTTCTGTGTGTGCAATTGTTTCTTCTTCTATCTTCCCGCCCTTGCTTCTGCCCTCCGCATGCCCATGTCTGCTCACCTCTCGCGCGGTTGGTTCGTGGTCCCACAGGGAGGAGCTCGACCCAGGGCCCCAGTGCCGCCGTTCGCATGCGCCTCTCCCGCCCATTACGGCACACCACTCGCACGGCTCGTGGCCCCATAGGTACCTCCACCCAGGGATCCAGTGCCGCCGTTCGCCTGCGCCCAAGAGCGACGACGCGTCATCGGTCGAATGCTCTGTGTGGCGTGACGTGTGTCGCTCAAGCCTGCTGCATTGATTTAGACTTTGGGGTATCTGTCGTAGGTGCGTAGGCTTGGAGGGCGGTCGTGTGGGAGCACGAGCTTCGCCAACTCCAGGCGCGGCTCCGCGACCCCCTTACCGCCGCAGGCGCTACCACCGCCGCCGCTTTCGTGGGCTTGGTCATGGACTTTGACGACTTGGGCGACCTCGTGGAGGGTCTTTGCCCGGGACGCGAGGACAAGGAGGGCGCGGTCGCCTCGCTGGAGAAGCTCTGCGCCGTCGCGACGGGCTGGGCCGCCGGGGGGTCGCGGGCCCTCGCCACGGCCTCCCACGCGGAGATCGCGGCGCAGGCCACGCCCACGCGTGCGAAGCGTCGCGAGGCGGACGTCGCCTCGGCCGCGCCCCCCCCCATAGCTGGAGCTGCGCCGGCCGATGCCAGGTGGCCGCGGAGGCTCCGGAGGCGGGAGCTTCCCACGGACGAGCCGAGGAGGCGTGCAGAGGACGCCCGGCGCGCGAGGGCCGTCGAGGCTGCCGCGGGCTTCGTGCGGGAGGCTGGCTCTGCCCTTGGCAGAAGCGGCCGCAGGGTCCGCTCGGCCAGAGGATACCCTCCAGCGCGCTGGCCAGGGCAGGCGGCGCCGTGCCATTCCGAAGAGGACGGCTTTTGGGGGAAGGCGCGCGCGTAGCTCCTCGCCGCGTGGGGGGTGCCGTGGCCCGCGGAGCTCTCGCTCGCGCGCGTCGGGGTATATTGTGACGGCCTCCGGCCAGTGCCGCCGATTTGGGGGGCTCCGGACTCGGTGATCTTCGCGGCTCTGTGGCCTCCTCCCTCCTCGATTCTTCTGGTCCTTTTTCTTCTCCTCTGGGGGGGTGCCTGGAGCGGTCCCGGGGGGGGGGGTCTGGGGAGGGTTCCGAAGGGGGGGTCCTGGGGGCGGTAGCCGCTAGATCTGAAGGGGGGTCCCTGGGACCCCCCGAAACATTTTGGGGATGCGCAAACCATTAAGAAAACGCCTGATGGGGGACCGCCCGCCCCCCCCCCCCGACTCCCCCGTCCCCGGGGGGGTCCAGAGGCAGAGCATTTTTTTTTTTTTTTTTTGAAGAAAAAAGAGGAGAAAAACGCCAGATGCCCCCCCTCCCCCCTACCCCCTCCCAGGCAGAGCCACCCCGGCGACCCCCCCAAGCAGAGCTAACGCTCTTCTTTGCTTAGGCTCAGAGCTGAAGCTCATGCTGGGGCTCCTTGTAGCTCACACGCCAGATCGGCGGATTTGGAGGAGCTCGCGGCGGCACCGAGTCCCCCATCCGTGCTCTGGTCATGCCTCTCGGCGCGCAGCTGCATGGCGCGCCGGATTGCAAGCAAGAGCCAAGCGCAGACTGCATCGCACAGATCACGTCGCCATCCGCCGCAGAAGTATGGGCACGCCGCCGACCAGGGGGCCCTCATAACTCGTCCTGGAAGGCCTTCGCGGGGAAATCCTGCACGACTGTCTTGGCCAGCCTCATGGAGAAGGGCGGCGGGGCCCAGCCCCCAAAGCAGCCGAGCCAGGACCCCTGGGCTCCGGGCCTGCATCGAAGAGCTGTGCGTGGACTGGTAATCCCCAAACGTGGTGGTGACAACACCTAGCGGTGAGTCTCGGGCGATTTGGTGTCACCACCCGGTTTGGGGACTCATGCGCTTGTTCGAGGATGTCCCGAACGCTGGTGGGCCCAGGAGTCACAAGACCCGGCGGTGAGCCCGTGTTTCAAAACCCGGGGGTGACTTTTTGGGGATTCCAGGTCACCACCTGATATCTCACCACCTGGTTTGGGGGCTCCCAAGTGGAGCTGCCGTCGAGCGCGCGGGGGGCCCCGCGGCGGAAGACGCCCAGGCTCCCGCCTGCCGTGGTCCTGGCGCGGGGGCACGCGGCCAGGAGCGGCGAGGTGCCCGAGTGCAGGCGGAGGTGCGCGTGGTGGCAGGGCGTCCTCACGTGGGGGTCCCTACGGTGGACGACCTCCTCCTCCTCCTCCTCCTCCTCCTCCTCCTCCTCCTCCTTACCCTTCCCCCTCCTCCTCCTCCTCCTCCTCCTCCTCCTCCTCCTCCTCCTTACCCTTCCCCCTCCTCCTCCTCCTCCTCCTCCTCCTCCTCCTCATCATCCTCATCCTCCCATGGTGCTGGACGCGAACCAAGGCCAGCGGCCGCGACAAGAAGGTGGAGGTCCTCCCGGTGCATGTATCTTCTGATGCCTACCTCTTCCTTTCAGGTGGGTTGCGCGACGGCTGGGGACTTTGGCACAAGCTCCCGCACGAGCGCGGCTTCTTCCTGGTCATGGCGAACGAGGACAGCTCTGCAACCAAGAATGTCGAGGTAGAGTACGCGGATGCGTTCAGCATGACGCGGGTGCAGATGGCTGAGTTCGAGGTTCTGACGGTTGAGGGCGATCGCATCGAGGCGCAGCCAGGCACGAAAATGTTGGGCGGTGATGCCGTTTTTCCTTCTACCGAGCACAGTCCGCAACCCACGTTGGCCAGCTGGGTGTCTTGTGTTGCGACCTTCCTGGCGGGTTGGCCAGACTTGCTGGGGCGTTGGGGTGCATGCAAGGCGGAGGGCTACGGCTGGACGCGCTGGCGGAGGGTCCACCTCGTGCAGGAGGCGGTTGCCAGAAAATGCCGCTTTGCTCTTTAGGGGACGACGAGCCGGGGGCGGGAGCAAAACACCCACAGGTGCGGGCACTGCTGGGGTACGCATGTGCGCCTCCCAACCGTCGTCAACGACTTGTGCTCGTGTGCGTCTTCGTCGCCGAGCTTCTCGTCGACCTCTGGCTGAGCCCTGGGCTCTTGAGCGCACCTTGACACAAGTTGCGCCGTTCGAGAAAACATGCGGCATGTTGCGCGCAGGAGTGCGCGGTATCGGTGCCACGTGAGAGGTCCCATGTAAAAAGCCATCGTGCACGGTAGTTGCGCGGCGGTGGGTTGCCCGGCGGTGTGTGCCTGGCGTGCTCGTCGCCGGGCGGTGATGCTGGCCAATGCAAGGCAAAGCGCGCCTGAGTCCGCTGGGGTGCGGGGCCTGGAAGGCCTGCGCGGGCGGGCCAGGGCCCTCAGTCGCAGATGTGGAACTTGTGGTCGGTGCTGTGTGTGGCGTCAGAAGACTTGCTCCAGATTGCTCCACTGAGTGCTGTCTTGTGCTAGCGTAAACCATCCTCCGCTGCCAGGTTGGAGAAGCATGCTTGCTGTCAGAAATTGTGTGATGATTCCGAGACGCTTCGTGATGCTGGGACGTTTCGTGATTCCGCTTTCTGCGGGGCTCGCTTCCTGGGGCCTGCGGCGTGTTCTTGCGGTGCGCGCCAGGCGTGCTGGTCGCCCGACGGCCCTGTCCAGGGGTCCGTGGGCTCAAAAGTTCCGCTCCGCGGGCCCCCCCGGAGGTGACCTTGCCAACGCGCGTAGGCCACGCCACAACCCCATGGTGCATGTGTGTCTGCGGATTGCCCGGCGGTGTCTGCCGGGCGTGCTAGTCGCCTGGCGGCGGTGCCGGGGCGGGTCGTTCCACCTGGGGGCTGCGACTTGCATTTGCGGTGTCGGCCAGGCGTAAGGACAATGTGGGCACATCCGTAGGCCA